TGCACTTTGGAATAGTCAATGTGTGGGGATACAGCTCAGCCTGATAAAAAAGTTGAGGAAAAAAAAGGTGATCGGCAAGGGGTAGTTGAAAGAAAAATGAACTAATCCTCCACCATCACATAGTCACTGTTACTGAATTCCTTCTTGCTACTTAGCCTTAGGGTTGCCTGAATACTCCTACTGTTCCTGTCTTCTTCCTTTTTACATATTACCATTTTAAAAAGACAGAAAAGCCAAGGATTTGAAATCTAGCTATAGTTTCAGGCAATTACATGGGTTTCCTGGGAACCACTGTGAGGTGCAAAGAGGTGACATTTATAATGCACAGTATGCATCAAACCTGGTGTGCACTGCCACTATTCCACTAGCATACTTCATTATTTCTTCTGATTTGGCCAATGCTACATTTGTGTGTTGGAACAAAAGAGGAAAGACCACAGCACTGCAGTTCTGAAGGCCTGAAGCTTTAAAGCCTGTCAAAGTCCATCCTTTTAAAAGGAACCTTGAATGTCTGGTGTTAGTTTAACTATCTTGGCAGGGGTTTGTCTTTTTTTTTTTTTCATATTTACCTATGTCACTATATTCTACACATCCTTGTTAGCATCAGAATTCTTACAAGAAGTTTTAGCAAGAACACACAATGAGACAAACACAAGGCATATATAATATACAGAAATACAGAACACTTACCGAGGAATATTTGAGATTGAAATCAAAATGCAAGAACTGCCAATTGAATGCCAACCTTTTAAAGATTGACCTTGGCTGCAATTTTTGCACTCTGTCCCTTTTCATCTGAGAAGTGTCTGGCAAGCCACTTGAACCACATATCTGATAACTGCCGCATTTTGAGAGTTTAGAACAAAAGCAGGAAAAGACACTCTAAATATTAATTTTTGCCTTTTTGATGGGCTCTGCTTTATTACACAATAGACGGATCCTGGAATCAGTCAATAGATCATGAAAAAAAGACAGACATTAAATTATTTGGATACTTCATATTATGAACTAGAAAGAGGGGCTATGGGTAATTGCTTCTGCTTAGCCACAAAGATCCATGAGAATAATCAAACTTCCATTTTTTCTAGACAAAGATTCTTCTGGATGCAGACAACATCCATATTTGGACTAATTTAACAGCTGAAAGCTAAACCAGGAAAGACTGTCACTATGTGCACAGCAGACAGAAATACAGCTTCTCTGCGAGAATCTGCACTGACCCATTAGGTTATCCACTAGGCTGGCTACAGGACAGCTACAACAGCTTCTCTTCTTTAAGATAAGCCTCATAGTTCTGGAGCTCTTACACGCAGAACAGACTTTAAAGAGTTTCATTGAAACAAATTAAGGTTGCATCCCTCCAACGTCAAAAGGACAGGGAAAGGAAAAGAAATTTTAGGATGTTTTATTTATTGCTTAGTGACTTATATCACCTCAGTTCTGCAAAGCCATCCTCTTCTCAGGCTCTTCAAACCCAACCCAATGACGCCTAACACCACAAAACTTGAAGATGTTTTGAACTGTCCCCATTCTGCAAAGCCTTGGTACATCGTCATTTCTTATTTCTTCTTATTTCTTCATTCATAAAAAAATGCAGCCTGGAAAAACCTGGGAAAGATGTAGAGGAATGCAACAACTTCCCTGTGAAGCCAGGAATCCTCACAGAGAGTTCAATTAAACCAGAATCTAACATCTCCTTTATACTATCTCAACTGAGGCGCCACCCTTCTTAAAGCTCCAGAGGCATGTAACAAAACATACTGGGCAGCAGCCAAGTGCAAAGGAGATCTTCAGACTGCTAGTTATGCTTTTACAGCGTCCCTGCCACCTCCCACTCCACCAAAAAGAAAGGCCACAAAGACTTTCAGCAGTCCAGGTCTCTCTGGTACATTCAGAAAACCACTTAAGAACAGCAAAATTCAGCTCTATGCCTGCACTTACTCTATATTGGTGCTAGCCTGTAAACTCTTAACATCCCATGTTCTTATTTTTCTTGTTTTCCAGGCATCTCAGAAGAACCCTACACAAGAGTAACAGGATACAGGAACTTTTGTTTGTAGCCAGTTCTCTTAGAAAACACATTCAAGAGATCAAATCCACCCTGCTGTAATTTTTTCCTATTCCACCATCTTACTTAAATTGTCATTTGTGATGTAATCTGCTCCAGTCAGCAGGACTCTCCTTCAGTGCATTTCTCTCCTGTTTGACCTCACATAACACTGTTGTAGTTTGACCATCTCTTCTAGTCCCCCTGCCCAATGAAGTTTTCAGAAACAATCTGCTTTTGCACGTTCCAGACGTTTAAAGAAGTTACTTTTCTGGAGAAGTGAAGACAACCTGCTGAGGAGACAATCTCTACAAGTATCATGATAGAATCATGCCTGGCTATGCTTCCCTCAACACCCAAAAGTGAAGCTATTCACCTGAAAGCTATCAGCTCAGCACCCAGGAAGTTGAGAGCTACACTAAGAATAACTGATGCATGTGCAATTCTCCCACCATGCTCTTAAGTACAGTGCACAAGTTCAGGATGACGCCTATAAATGGCATGGCATATAGAAATATATCTGAACCAAGAAGTCATGTTAGTGCAATGCAAGATGAATGTCTGAGGTGCGCGTTAGAACAATTGAGTGAGCATATTCATGCTTACCACATTAAAGGGCTATTACTGATACTTGCCAAATACTCTTTAAGCAAGGAGAATCAAAAGCAGGAAGCTCAAAAAAGCCCTTTAGCCAAGAAAGTCATAAGACATGTTAATGTGAAGTTTTTTCCACAGCAGTAGGCTACAGTTTCTCTTAGAATCTGGTTTCAAATTTGACGAAATAGGATTCTGCAAGAAACTCTATACCACCTCACAGAAGCTCCCGTCATACACTGACCTCTAGTGTAATAAAGACTCAAGACATCAGAACTCTCTTCAAAGCCTTAGCAAACATTATCAAATTATTTTTCCAGCACTCCGAGTGACATTTTCAGGCAGGAAAAGAGACTGAAGTCAAACGGGCCTCACAGGATTACTCTCAGTTGTTTAATAAAACTGGAGCACAGGTAAAAGCAGCTACAAAACTTAAATTGTTCTAAGGCTGTGAAGCTACTGCTGTGTATACATAAAGTAATTATGCATCAAAGCTGCATTTAACTACTTTGAACACCAGATTAATTTAACATCTAAGCACTGTGGATGTATAGAATTGTTTCCTAACTGCAGTTAGGAAAACAAAGCTCAGTTAGAAAACATTTAAAATAGAAATGCTCAGCTTGGGCAAGTCCTGTACTGGACAGATGACAGTTAGATCAGCCCAGGTTCTAAATCAGACTTTCAGGGGGCACATGGACAGAGCTGCTGACTCAGATGTACTTACTGTAGCCAGCACTCAAGACAAGA